TCCAGAGCAAAGGTGGTGACTTCCTCATTATTTTGTTATGATGCGATAACCAATGTACAGTGGATATCCAATAACATTTGGGGATGGATGGATAAATAAATGAACAGATAAATGCATCCATATGTGAATTACTGATTTTGAAAAACTTTAATGCCATAACATCACTCGGTACTAAAATTATATTGAATAGCAGATGATATTTTACTACATATTATGTAGTTGTCATCCTCTCATGCTTTTAACTTCCGCAAAGCTATTTGAAATTTAAAGGCAAGTTCCTCTCTCAAAAGGGAGATGCTGAGTTATTAAGATATGAAGTATATTAAGCATGAATAAAAGAGTAAATGTCCATGGTAATTGGAAGGGAGGTGGTAGAAAAGTAGAGAGAAAGGAGAGAAGACGAGAGGAGACGAGAGGATTCAAACTATCAAAATATTGCTAGAGTTTGGATGACAGCTAGAGGGCTAAGAGTGAAATATAAGCATCATCCAAAGTCCAGGGCGGGAGCAGGGAGGAAAGGTATATGTTGACTTAGCTGTGCATTCTCAAGTCTAAAAACAAAACCAGAATTAACCTTTGATAATAGCAAAAGTATAATAGAAAAGGCTTTTAATTATACTAGGGTATTAGACAGTCTTTATATAATACTCAGAATGATATTTCTACCTTTTTAAACAACATTTTCTACCCTCTTTAAACAGTATTTAAATAGCATGAGTCAGACCAGAATCTTTTTTCCCCCTGTAAATCCTTTTCTTCATTGCCCAACCCTCTACCCATCTCTTTACCTTCGGCAAAAGGGAGTCATTGATTAGGTTGAGAAGAAGCCGCTGAGTTGTCCAGCACCAAACTAAGAGAATCTTCATAGAAAAGGTAGAGGAAGTTTCTCACCATTTTCTGGACTCTATGTGAGCCTACAATAGGCTAATAATAATAATATTTTATTTCTGGAAATGATATATTTGCACAACCTTGCAGATGGTACAAATGAGGAGCTACATATTTTTTGGCAGTTATTTTTTTCAGAGATTTTAATACAGGAAAAAATTACACTTGAAAAGCATCTTATAAGATAGTATTCTTAAGTACACATGAAAAGACTTGTTAAATTAATGGTACTATGCCCTCCTAGTGTGAGTTTGTTTTAATTGCAAGGCAAATATGTAGGAGGAAATAAACAGCACCATAAATATCATGATTCTTTGCAAATACAAACCATTAAAGTAATGGAAAATTCAATGGGATCATAAAAATTTAAAGCAGGAGTGGACCTTAGAGAATGATGAATCTAACCTCATTTTAATGAAAAAAATAAGACTAATGTCTAAAGCTACATAACCAGATAGCACCATATAGCAAAGATCAGACTAAACCCAGATATCCAACAGTATGTGTTAAATTCATTTTATCATGCTGTAAATTTTTGGAAAGTATACAACTGTCTCTTGACTGAGTTCATCATTATAATCCCATCAAACATATAAGTGAATTTATGTATAAAAATGTTAATTTAAATCAAAAACCAGTTTGGCTGATTTTCATCAACTACCTTGACTTGCCTAATGAGTAATAGAGTTGTGAATTTTAAAACTGTCCATATTAAATGAGAGCTCTTGGCTTCCATTACACATAAATTATTATTCATTTAAAAATTAATGGAGGAAGTTTATGTATATACTTACTATTAAATTCTAATATGCATAACGTAGACATTAAACCTTGGGTGAAGTCTATCAGAGCTATGCTGCAGCTGGTGAATATCTAATATATTGCTATTAATATTTACCTTTGTGTTAATTGCGAATCACTTTTTGTTTTTTTTCTTTTTTGCAACTCTACCTTTTGTAACCAGAAGCAAATCACCTTTGTATGAAACTGAATAGCATTGCTGCAGTTTTACATTAATCTAAAATTGGTCCTAATTGCATTTGTGGTTGATAAGAGAAAAAGTTAATGTTTCCATTAAAATGTTACATATTAATCATATGAAATGGTATGTGTTAATCACAAACGTTGTCTTACTATACCATCTTTCAAAATTGGGTGTCAAATGTTTTCTTAATTATAAGTTTTATATACAGAGTAACACAATAAATATCATAGCATGTTTTTTCTTAATTAGTAATATGCAATTCATTGTAAATTAGGGGAAGTGTTTGTTGTTCTTTGGGAGGGTATCTCTGAATGCTTTATTTAGAAAATTAGCTGAGTGTTATCTTATTGAACATATCAAAAAAGGCTAATATAGTTTATTCTCACCAAACCACAGATGTTTTGTTTATGAAGTTATAACCATGTTTTAAAAAGTTCAACATTAAATATTTTTATATTTTTTTGTATGTCATTCTAAATTTTTTAAATGATTAGTGTCAACAACACAATATACTTCTTTTAAACCCTTTTTGACTTCAAAAATAATTGAAATACTAGATTTGAACGAAGAGAGAGGAGGGTATACTCTATACTCAACCACCTCCATTGTACAAAGAAAAAACCAGATGGTGGGGGCATTTGGCAGAGCAAAGCTGCAACCTGGAGGTGCACCTAGCAGACTTAGACCAGTGTTAGCAGGAGGAGAGCAGAGAGTACATAATAGGGAGTAAAATGGGAGAATATGACGGAAAACAAGAAGGAAGCAAAGAAAATGCAAAAAGTAGCATGCAGGTAGGGGACACAGTCACCATGTCCCAGAGAGAAGGTGAGCTTCATGAAAAAGGAACATAAATATCAACTCTCAGCATCATGGGATATGGAGAGAAAAGAGGTGACAAGTATGGTAGAGAAGACATGCACTTCTGATGGTTATAATTTTACTTGTATTTTTGTGATTATTGAATTCAAGTCGACTTCCTTGGACCACGTTCAACACCCCCAGTCATGTATGCAATGACTGGCAAAGAGTCACTCCTCAATAAATATTTTGTGGGCGAGTGAGTGAGCAAGTGAGTGTTAATGACAAAGAAAAAGGCTAGCACCCTGTTACACAAAATGTGGGCCTGTGACTAGCAAGAGCATTGCCATCTCCTTCAGCCTTGTTAGAAATTCACAATGTCGGGCCCCCTCCAAAACTGACCACATCAGAATCTACATCTTTAAACAATTCCCCAAATAATTCCAAGGCATCTTGAAGTTTAAGACACATTGGGCCAAATTTTGCATGTCTTGCAGACTTTAGATCAGGCAGATTTAAAGAGTTGAGCACAAATAAGACATAATTCTAAACATGAACCTCTGGGAGGGACTATAGCAAAAAATGAAAGTTAGAGAGCTCTGGGAAATGAAATTTTGATTGTATAAATAATCCTGATGATGAATAAAAAAGTGTGGTACTGAAGAACAAGAAATAAAAAGACTCCAAAATGATGTTGGACAAGGAGTCCTCTGGGAGTACATGTTTTTAAAATAACAAGTATAATAGTTCATATTTAATGAAAGTTTCCTATATACCAGACACTGTTCTAGGCTCTTTAAATGAATTAGCTTATTTAATTAGACTATATTAACCCCATGCAATGGGAGGAATGCTGTCTTCATTGTACAGATGGAAACACTGAGGTACAAAGGAGTTGAACAAATGAGTTGAAATAACAGAAAAGTTTTGGAGGCAATTTCTAAATTCAAGATTATGGCACAACAGAACTGACTTTTATCTATATTTCAAAGTCTTAACTCAAAAATGAGGTTTTCTACAAGTCTACATGTAACAAAAACTTTTATTTTCCTATTATTTTTCCTTTTAAATTGAGTTTGAATAGAATAAGATGAAGAAATAGGTAGTCTCAGTGTTCAGGACCAAAGGTATAATTGCTAATGGATAAAGAAACTAGCAAACTTTCTTAATTATTGTATTTCTATCTTCCCTGAAAATGGCAATAATCTGTACACAGAAAAGAGAAAAACAGACATTCTTAAAAAAGCATATAAACTCAAGATGGGCAAAAGATTCAAAATCTACTCTAAATGAGTAGTTACTTGGCTGCAGACAAGTTACATCTCAGAGTATCAAGAAAATCTAAAATAAGCAAATAGGAAAACTGTAAATGATAATTTAGGAAGTATATAAGAAGGGTAAGATTCTTGAAAACTAGAAAAAGAAGAAAAAGTGAACTATGTAAATTACAGACTACAACAAATATCTTGACAATTACTTTAAGAAAAATATTGGAAAATTTTGTATTAGACAATGAAAAAGCCATACATACATACAAATATTCATTTAACCTTATTTATAATAGGAAAAAAGTAGAAATAACCTACATACCCAATCATAAGTTATTATATAAATTATTATATAATTATAATTACTATATAATAAAATACTTTACAGTCTATGAAGATGACCAGATAGAAAAATATATGAGCATAGAATGTTTAAAAATGCATAAAATCCATGTGTGTGTTTAGATGTAAATTTATTGAAAAATAAAATGTCTAGAAAGTTCCTAGAAAGATACTTACAAAAATACATAATATTTATAGAAGAATGTGTGGGGATTTTTAGCATCTGTCTTTTGTTCACCTATGCTTCATAAAAATTATGTAATTAACATGTATCATCTTTGATTTTTTAAATTTTGCAAAGCAACATCTATTGAAGAGATGGTTTGTGAAGAGCCCTCACCACACCATCAGTGTTCGTGTCCAGCAAGCACCACTTATTTCTCTGGAAATTTATAGATTAGTGGAAGGAAGTGGTAGCCATGGTGGGATTTATGCAAAATGAGCAAACTGGGAATTAAAGAAGTAACTTCCTGAATCTGATAAAAGGCATTTCATCTCAGTTTGCTAAGCCTTTTAATCATAAATGAAGGTTGACTTTTGTCAAAAGTTTTTTCTGCACCTACTGAAATGATCATATGGTTTTCTCCTATATGCTGTTAATATGATGAATTACATTAATTTACATTAGAATTGTAAACCAACTTTGTATTCCTGCAGTAAACCCCACTTGCTCATAATGCATTATACATTTAATATATAGCTGAATTC